GGTTTATTTGTCCTTAAGAACAATAGAACAATAGGAGAACCAAAAAGTCTTCAGGGAGGGTAGGAAAGGCAATTGTCCCCACGTGCTTTTTTTCGGGCGGTTACGGGCGGCACAGGGAAATGGAGGAGTTTTTTGCACGGGCGGTTATGGGTGGCACAGGCGTCAATGGGTTAAATGGATACTCAAGAATTTTTTTAATTTTGGGCCCTTGACTCTGAAATTTTGAGCCATATCCTGGAGCCCACTATGGGCTCCTGCCATATCATAAAGCAGAATTGTCCGTCCGTGAGGTTTCCAACCGGGGTCTGAATTCCCAAGAAATTCAAACTAAAAATAGGTGGGTCTGTGAAAAGGTTGAGACAGGAGTAATTGGGGTAGTTGCACACTCTTAGTGATGGGCTTCTGCTGTCAGGGGACACGGTCAGCTGGAGCACATGCGCATTAGATACCATTTCATAGCTAATTTGCATATCACAGAGATGCAATCCATATTGTTTTTAATCAAATATGATAAAAACGATATCATAGGATGAGCAAAAGGACACTCAAAAACAGGCTTTTCAGTAAACGATTGGAAAATTATCAAGTAAAACACTGCGAAGATTGAAGCAGATTCCTGGATGTAGTTTGATTTCAGGTTGAGGTGAAATTTTTTTCAAAGTGAGAAAACTAGTGTCTAGGTCAGCACAGTCCCAAAGCTAACTGTGTCCCTTTAATGGTAGCATTCAATAGAAAACTAGGTTTGCTTGAAAAACATATAATCAGGAGATAACCAGGAGAAATTGGTGCATTCATATCTTGTAGATAAAGTCATCTAATCATCATAAATGACAAATGAATCAAATTTAAATGCAGTTTTGAATTATTTGTATTGAAAATCTCTATAGTATGTTAATAAATTTTATTATGCTAATTACTTATGCAAATCAATTATGCAAATTAATGTCCTGTCAAATTGATAAGATGTCCGACCAAAATACAGATTTGAAAGGACACATGTCCTGTTAAAGAAGAAAAATTATTTCTGGACAGGACTGAATTGATTAAAAATTGATAAAAAAGGCTAGAAAATAAAGATATACTAGTTAATTAAAAAAACCCAACCAATTAAAATAACAACTGAGAAATGCTCAAACTAAAAAAAGGTTTTTATAAAATCAAAATCAGATCATCCTAAAGTGAAGCTCCCTTAGATTGCAAGTGACTTATCAAGTTTCAAATCTAATAGAATGATCTCTCTCCGTAATAAATGGAAATCCTACAAAGAATTGTCTTTAAGTGGCAATAATTAATTCTCTACTTTTAGTTAACTATATGGAACTACCTTGTAAGTAATTTCATTCACAAACATACATTAAAATAATGCATACAAGTTATTTAATTAGTGGTGCTAAGTAACTCTTCATTTATTGTTAATTATGGAATATTTATCTTGTAAGTAATTTTAACATGTACAAAACTTTGCATGTAAGAAGTTTAATAACTACACACCTATATGTAAAAAAGAAACTGTAATATGATAATACCTTTTGAAGAAGACATTCAATAAAGGAAGAAGAAGAAAAAAGTCACTTATCAAGTTGTCATGTTTTTTTTTCAGTATTATTTCTATGAATATGCTGAAGAGGGCGATGACCTTCACGTGAAAAGGCCCAGGCAGTGTCTCCCATATGCTCTCCTTACCTTTACCATGGTAGATTCATTTGCTCCTCCTCAAGAGCCTTCTGTTTTGCAGGTGAGTTGTCAGTGTTCCCAGGATTCTCATTACGTGCCAGGCACCAGCTAAAAAAAATCAGCTACTATGATATCTGAGCTGCCTACTATCTGTGAAATAACACTTGCGTAAGTTGTGAAGAGTAATTTAGGGAAAACACAGGTTTTTTCGAGCGTAACTTGACACCTGCCTGTCATTGTCTCAGATGTCATTCGGTCTTAAAAGAATGAAATCTTTGCAGATTTTAGTTTAAGAACTGTGAAGAACACATTCTCTTTTAAACGTTTTTTCTGCAGTTCACATTTGTAGCATTTAGTCCATATACTTGCCACATTATTACTTGGTCAATAGTCATTGACTTGATTTGATGCTTGGGCAGTGGTTGTGCAGCAATGAGTGTTTGTTTCCTACCAGTGTGGCCCAGTTTCATGTCCCAGATCTTACACAATACATGGTTTAGTTCTTTTGTCGTTTAGTGTCCTCACCTCTAAGTATTTTTCTCTGGGATCTCCAGTTTTCCTCCCTCCACAGAAACCAGCACTTCTAAATTCTAATTCAACTTGAAATCAGAAGGCAAATAACCACTCCTTAGATACATGTAGTCCATCAGTTATAGACCTTTTTAGTGATACAGCAGCCATTTTGGATTCCATTGTGTCAAATAGCTCTTATGTGATGCTTAGGGGGAAAATACTTTTAATTTGCCCCCTGGGCATTCCATAATAGCTATTTGAAACAATGAAATTCCAAATGGTTGCGGTGTCAGTGAAATGGGGATACTGTTGTTCACATTTTGTAGAGCGGTTTTCAATTGAGTGTCATGAAACCAAAACTAAACCAATTACTTACCAATTAGCCTGCTCAGCCAATCTCAAACCATAGTAAAACCAAAACCAAAGTAATTGCCCATTTACTCAGATACTCAATTGAAAACTGCTCTATACTGTCTGTGATTTTTGATTGGATTTTTCTTTCAAGGAGGAGCTGCCAGCTACTGACAACAATGGATTTTTATCTCCAGTATCATCTATGTCGAGACATGAAACAAGTAAGTTCCTTGTTCATGTTCTTTCATGTGTGGACCTTCTCACTTACTGGGTTTCTGGATCTGTTATATTATTGAGAAAATTACTTTGACGCTACTTAATCGTGGGCCAAGAGGAGGCCAATTTATCATTAATTTTAAATAATGTGCATGTGTTTATAATTTTCTCCATCTTTTGATAAATGAGTTATCGCTTGAAAGCTGGAGCAATTAAGGATTCACAATAATTGTAATGTTTGAGAATTCTTTCAAATTGCACTTACCTAAGTACTCGTTCAACTGTGAGAGAATTTACAAGTTAATATCATTCATAGTGTAACTCGTTAAATGCACTTGTGTTTATTTGATTGTTTACCCATACCAATTAATATTTGATTGTCCTGATGAGGGTTTTTCTATTGCCTTCACCCCTTTTAAATGGCCATTCAAAATTTAATACACTTAAGTTCACTTTGTTTTGGAAAAAGAGATGGCAGGTAAGAGTTCAAAATAGAAGCTGAGGAGTGATAAAAGCATTCAAGTACGGGTTTATCATGATTGTCTTGAAGTGACGCCATGTTCACCAAGAAAATGACCTGATGGTGAAAAATATTCAAGGTACAACAACCTCTATTAAGCAGCCAACACCTATTAAGTGGCCACCTCCCGTTTCCCCGAGGGTGACCACTTAATAGGGGTTTGACTGTGTAAAATTGGTCGTGGTGAACTTAACAGTTTAACCTAATCAATCTGTTGTTGTCAGGAATCCCAGAGAAGAGACGAGGAAGAAACAGCCATGTCATCTGGATGGGTTTGGTAGCTAACAAGGACAGAATCTTGGCTGAAGCTCAACTTGTTTGCCATTCTGCACAGAAAATCAAGCCTCCCTTTGAAATGTAAGTTAACCTGCTAATTAAATTTAGGGTTTCAATTTAGGGTTTCAATTTTACTGACATGACAGTTAAGCATCGGTGTCAGTGGGCATTGATATTCATTATCCAAATTGTCCTAACGTTTGTTCTCTGTTCGCAACTGCGAAGTGTCATTGTCATCATCCTCTCTGTGCTTGAAATAACCCTGCCTCCCTTAACAGAACTGCTCTGCAGTTAGATGTGCTTTGCAGTCTTTCTTTTTGAGCTTTAACTTTTTTCTTTACAAAATTGTTTTTTATTTTTGCCTTTCAGTGGTGAAAAGATTGTGATGAAAGAAAAAATATCCTTCCAGCAGCTGAGATCGTTATTGACTTTCCCTCTGTTTCATTCTGGTCCTCCATCAGTTACAAAAGTTTGTCAAGGTAACCCTGTGATATTTTGCTACACAGTTCTACTTGTGACTGGGCGTTCTAAAGAGACTTCATCTTTGTACACCTCACCTCCACACTCATAGTGGGAGGTGCAGTGGCCTCATGGTTAGTGCGCTAGTCTCCGGATTGAGTGGTCCGGGTTCGAGCCCTGGCCGGGGACATTGTGTTGTGTTCTTGGGCAAGACATTTCACTCTCACAGTGCCTCTCTTCACCTAGGTGTATAAATGGCCCATCAGGCCAGAGCTTATCCGGGTTTCTGTAGCATGAAGCAACTAGGAGTATTTTTACTCCCCCCTGGATGGGATGCTAGTCCATCACAGGGTTACCCCCAGCATTAAGTTCGCTGGTACCCATTTATACACCTGGGTGG